TCAAGATAACACCCTGTACAGTAGTCACAATATAACCATCAGCACTCTCTACAATTATACCATCCAACTTCAGACTTGGGAGATTAATAGGACTGCCCAATATAGAAAACGGATTAAGTACAACCAAACAAGAAGCCTGCCTCTGTGTAGAATACAACAAAGTAACCAACACACAATGTATGAGCTAATTTCACTCAACCACAATTTTTAGTCTCACAACCCTCGGAAATTGATTGACCACACATAATATCAAGTCTCACACCACTCAACCCACAATTATAACACTCACACCATTCAATGTATAGCCTTTCCATGTACCTGCAAAAAACAGAGAAACTAGAGATACCAATAAAAGAAAACATTAGGCAACTCTCTCACTGTGGACTCAAGTAAAGGTATGAATATAGTCCTCACTATCACTCAACTCTCAATGGTACATAATAGTTCACACTCCAGCCTTTTACAACCTGCAAAAATTAGAAGATTGTTAGATAACACACAATATCTGCTCACCTTCACTCAACCCACATATACTAAACTCCCATCCCTCATATTTCTGTTGCTTCCAGCACCATGACTGTCCTTCAAGATGGAGTGAGGCAGCCTCTATTTGCTTAGAAACCAGTTATGAGTGGAATGAACTTTCAAGTTTGACAATGAAATCATTCTATATATGATCATATCCTCAATTGTCTTGATAACCACTTCTTCAGGGTACATTTCATTATTGAAAATCCTATTATTCCTAGCAAGCCACAGCTGGTAAATTGTGCAAGTAAAAACAAGCTTAGAAATAATAGTGCCCATAGAATTCCCCTTAACAGGTTTAGAGATATGTTCCACCAACTCAAGCCAAAGAAGACTAGGCCAAGATTCATTAATCATAGATTTCAGCTGACTCCACACTCTATCAGAGATAGGACAGTGAAAAAAATAGATGATTATGATCTTCGTAAGTGTTCTGGCAAAAGACACAATTCACATGTTGGGATAAACCAAATAGATAAAGCCTGTCCCCTGTATTATGCCTGCAGTGAATAGCCATCCAAGTAACAAAGCTAGCTTTGGGATAATACGTGAGCCCCAAACATGAGCCCAAGGAACTTTGGCAAAAGATTTCCTCCAAGAATTCCGAGTAGATTTGATAGAGAATTCACCATTGGGGGCAGGAGTCCATAGAACTTTATCATCATCCTGACTGGGATGTAAGGGATAGAGGAATGTTATCAATTAACTCCTTAATTTCCCAAGAGCTAACCGCAGGCCACTTCCAAGAGTTTTTCTCAATAACAGCACTGACCTTAGAATCACTATGAATAGAAGAATCATAGATGATCCTCTCACCAAACTTAGACCACAAAGAACCTAAAGTGTGCCAATTATCATGCCAAAGGAAAGTATTACACCCATTCCCAAAGATATGTTTGATAATTGGAAAGATAATAGGCCTAAAATTTAGTTTAGTAGTGCTTTGCTGGTGCTTCTTTGTGGGGCATTGAGTTCTGCATCTTTTTGTTAGGCTTTGTTTTGTTTGTTGTTTTCCTTGGGTAGGTTGCTTAGTTATTTTTTTTTGCTGGTTCTTTTCGCTAGGGTTAGCTTCTCATGCCTCTTTGTTTTGGGTTGGTTTGTTGTTTGCCTTAGGAATGCCTCTTGTAATCTTGTATATTTCTTTGTTTTATTTTATAACTTGCCCAATGTAATAATAACAAAGATGTACACTCCAGAGAGAGGAGAGAGCCACTTTATTGACGACAAAGAGGTAGATTCATGAGGGAGGGGAGAGAGATAGATAGGTCCCAAATTTTTTTCCCTAAATTGATAGTGAAGGAGAAATTATTCAATACTTTTGAAACAATACTCTATTTCATTTGCAGGTAACACACCACAACACATATAGGGCTCACTTCACTCAACCCACAAAGGAAGAGGCACTCAACAAAGATATATCCTGAATTCACTCAACGCACAACCCACATATAGGAACTCACATCACTCAAATATCCAAGAAATACAGTAACCTAACATATCTAGCCTCACCAATCTTAACCCTCACTCTCTTTACAAGCAGTACTAGCTAGACACTGCAGAGAAAACAATTAGATAAACATATGAGAACAATGCAATATGGATAATCATTTTGGGCGCACAACACACAACCCTCAACTTAAATATCACATCACTCAACCCTCAACCCTCAGCATCCTTGAAGAGGTACCAACAGGACCTGCAAAGAAGCTCATTAGAGGAAATAAGGAGCAGCTCCAGCCAACAAGCACCCACAGCCTAAGGAGACCTGCAAGAGTAGTAAGTCCAAGCATATAAGATTCAGAGCGTTAGTGCCATAGCCATAAGAAAGCACCCCAGTTTCACTACAGAGGAAGAGAGCCTTCATCTGTCCATAAACCAATCACTAGCAGCATTCTTATTAAAGTTCTTCACAGAAAGAATTCTAAACCTTACAGGATTGACAATTCTCCTTTGAAATACCTCAACAGGAGAGCTAATAGATTGAAAAATTCTAGAGTTTGTTTCCTGCCAAATACAGTAAACAGATAGGTTATTTGTTATAGATAGAAAGAGGGGGGGATTGTCAATAGATTTCTAGCAAAGGTTTATTAGCTGACGTGGCTTGATTATGCTAGTCCTACTCCATAAATTTGTTATCTATTTAATTACGTTTACTAATATTAAGTAATTGTGCAATCTGTTTTGTTTCCCTAATTTTCCCATCTTGAGAAATTTCCTTGTTATGTTGGAAAGTTTTGACTAGCTGTTTGAATTTGGGCAGTTTTATGAACTGGCGGATTCTTGCAAACTTTAGATTTAAATGTTTTACTAAGTGCCAAATTTTGGCACTTAAGACTTCATTTGTACAAGTAATAGGAAAATTGATTCTGAACTTAAAGTTAGTGCCTAGAAATGAGTTTATAGTGAATTGGTGATCAGGACCCTATATCTGTCCATTTACTACTTATGTTATTGAATAATACATTATAATTATCACTGCATTTGATAAGAGAGGAAACACTCTTTTTGGCAGTGGGATATATATTTAAGGAAAATTGGAATATTACACCCATAAATTAGCATATCTTGCTTTAACTTCTCTAGACTTCGTATATAGTTGAGTAAAGAGAAAATCAAACAGAGTACAAATTGCAGTAATAGGCCACAAGTACTAAATTTTAGTGTCAAGGCATTCATTGGAATTGTCACATGTGGCTATCAATTCTATTGGTATCGTTCATTTCTTATATGCATAGCTCCTTAAGTGCATTATTAAGTTCCTCTCTAGAATTTAACCACATTTTGTTTACCGAGTGCAGATTGTGTACACAATTTGTATTGACATGGATAGAGAGGTCTATACAATGTAATTGATAATATGCTAATGTTTTTCTTGTTTATTTTTTTTGCAGATTGGTTTTTGATGACGTTTGGAAGCATACTTGCAAATCAAAATCAAGTGTTGAATTTTTTTTTTCCTGAACTGATACTTCTACAAATCAAGATCGAGTGTTGATTTTTTTTTATAGACTCCATGTTAGTTCATTTTGGGATTTGCTTTGATAGTTTTTTTGTTATACTTAATGGATTATTATTAAATTTGTTTGATGGATATATTTTGATTTATATTATAAATTGTTTAGTGAATTTTTTTGTGGAGTGTATAATAGCTAGTGGATTTCTTAGTACATTTAAAAGCCTTTTGGGATATGAACACGGATATTTGTGAAATAATAATCTAAATTGAACTATAAAATATGAGACAAGTTTAGTGACGAATTTTTTTCGTCATTTGTACTTGTTATTATGAGAAAGTGATTATGCGTCACTAATAAATATTTTTTGTGACAATTTATTGCAACTTATAAATGAAAGTTTTCATTGATTTTGTTGTTTGGTGACTAAAAATTCCGTCACAGATATATATTTTTGTCACGAAATATATTTTGTCACCCATGTATGACGTTTGGAGACGAAAAATTTGGTCAACTTTACATCTTACTGTGACGAAATTATTTTATCATCAATGATCAACATGTGAAATTTATTCGTCAATTAAAGTTATAAATATGGTACTGAATAATTATTTTGTGACAAAAATGAGGATTTTTGGCGACAAAATGTTATTTTATTGGTGACAAAAAATTTCGTCACTGAAGTAATTTCATTGGTGACGAAATTATTTTTCGTTACGATGCTTTGGCCCTGTTTGGTAGAGTTGTGGGAAAGTGCTTATAGCTTATGTCTAAACAGGTTATAGCTTATAACTATGAACATAAGCTGATTTTTGACTAATAAATTAAGCATCTCCTGCCCCACTCAAAGAATAAGCTGATTTCTGACTTCCAAAAAGCTATAAGCTATAAGCTATAAACTAAACTAAACACATCAAAATAACTTAAATTAACCTGAAAGCTAATAAGCAGCTTTTAAGCTGCACCAAACAGGCACTTTTTAGTGATAAACATTCAATGACGAAACCAGTGAGGAAAATATTTCTTCACAAATATCTATAGTGACGAAATTAACTCTTTGGCAACAAACAAAATTCGTCATTCAAGACCCAATTTATTGTAGGCTTATATATGGTCTACATTCCTTAATTTGGCATCTTACTATAGACTCAAGAGATTCTCTTGAATAATTCCAATTATCCTTCATCTTTTTTGTCTTTTTTTTGTCCTACTTCCATCTTCTTGACCACTAAAAGAAGTTTTCTCTGCATTTGTTTAAGCCGCTGCGTGCTAGTTTTCTTGGTCCCATCTATCTTACAAACCAGGGAGCTATTCTTTTTGCTTGTTCTAGTCTATACTTGCTGTGCTTATATGCTGATCATCTAGTTTATGCAGGATATCTTGCTAGTGCTCGCTGTTCAAGCTCAAGAGTGCTTGTCCTTGTTGAACCAGTTTCAACTGTTAATGGTGGAGATCAGCACCTAGCAACTCCTAAAATTGAACGATGTTCAAACTGTTCAGGTTCTGGAAAGGGTAGACATTTGGGATTTTGGTTTTCGTATTTGTTTAATGAATGTCACATGGAGCTATTTACTATTTGAGGGCGGTAGAATAGCGGATTTTGATGGTGCAATATATGGCTTATATGCATGGTTAAAACGGTTTCTTGATGAACTAATATGAGATTCTTGGGGAAGAGATTACGAAAACAAGAATGCTATTTCATCAGAAAAAATAAATATCTAATTTGGAATGCTTAATGCTTTGAAGCCCTTGCGTTTATATTGTGCTAAATTACTGACTTCAACCTGCTTGAAATTAATCCTCTTATTTGTTTCCTATGCTGACATGTCCAACTATACCTTTGTTACCCCCATTGGTGAAATTTCTTCCTGTGCAGTAAGACTCTAGACCTGCTTTGACACTAGCTGAGCTAGAGCTGTTTATTTATTTATTTATTATTTTTATTTTTAAATTTATTATTTATTTAAGTTGGCTGCTAAATGAGGCAGTTATTTGATGAACTGGTGAGCTCCAACCCGTGACTTTTGAAATTTTTATTTTTATGAGTAAGCCTAAAAGTTTCTTTAACACCTTTTCATTTGGCAAGTCTTACCATTGGGCCATGCCACCCTTTTTCCATTTCATACCCCTAATTACTAAAATATTCTGCTGCCAAGCTTTTTTGTGGTTCTGCTGCCTAACTTTTTTGTGGTTCCTCGAGGTTAACTGTTATGACCATTATACATTATGTTTTTTTTCATAAGCCTGCTACTCCTTTATTTATCTTTTTCAAGTTTTTGTAAATGGAAGAAAGCTCATGGTTGTCAAACTGTATTTTGACAGTGAATCATGCGCTTGGGTTTTAATTGGGACTGACATAAATATTCTGCTACTTGCTAAGTTCGCGTAGCCTTTAATGGGACCTGCCCGGATAGTCAGAAACAGCATCCTCATTAAGGGTGAAGTATGTAATTTTCTCTTCTCTTTTTTACTTACCTTTTATATCTAAAATTCTGAATTATCGTTCTTCTCTTTTTGGTAAATGAAGAATTAAAGTCACATCTATGAAATTGAAGAACTGGTAATTGTTCTTTGCCACCACTAGTGTAAATCAGGTAATGTTACAGGCTCAACTCCTCATTCACATATAAGATGGTGGGATATGTGGTGGGTAATTCCTGTGTCGATTGAGGCTTTGTTTCAGTGGTGGGTAGGAGCTTTGGTTAAGAACAAAGAGGTGAAGGTGTGGAAAATTGTGCCGCTAGTTTTATTTTGCCAATTTGGTAGTTGAGGAATGATATATTGTTTAACAGTGGCCATCCTAATTTTGATGATTTGGAGGACATTGTGAAGACCAGGATTGCATTTTGGGCTAAGAACAATTTACCAGGTGTGTAGTACGGAGTGCATGATTTTGTTCATAATCTTCAACAGGTCAGACATTGCTTGAGGTGAAGGGTGTTTACTGGGGCACTGTGGTGGCAGTGTTCTGGGACGCCCTGTGCTGGTTTTGCTGTCAGGTCCTGCTGTTGCTGTGTGTGTAGTCCAGTTGCTGGGTACGTAGTCCCACTGCTGTGGTCTTGTTATGGGAAGCCCTTTGCTGGTGTTTTTGCTGTTATGAACTGCTGCTGCTGGTCCTATTGTTGCTGGTTCTCTTGTTGCTGGTGTTTGCTGTCATGTGTAGTAACAGTTTGCAGTAGTAGTGTGCTGCTGTAGCTGTGTACTTCGTGCACTTATCAGTTTGTTAGCAGTCCTGTTATAGCTTCTGTGTTGTTTGCTTGCTGGGTTGTCATGCAGTTGCTAATGTTTGCAGGGTTGAAATGCTGTTGCTGATGTTTGCTGGGTTGACATGCTGTTATAGCTGTTGTTTTGCTACCTTGGGTGCTGTTGGTGCTGCTGTCTATTGGTGCTGCTTGTTGCTACCATGGGTGTTAAATACTGGTGCCTGTTCCTGTAGCAAGGAGTTTGATGGTTTATTGTTTAGAAGTTGCTGGAAGATTTTATAAGGGAAGGAGTTGGCAGAGTTGGATGGTTGTCCTTGCAGTGTGGTTGGTCCGTTTTTTTCCTATTTTCCTTTTTGTTTCTCTGTTTTGGATTGGTTTCTCGCCAATCTGTGGGTTTAGTGCTACCATATGATTGTGCTTCCTCCTTGGTGCCAGCCTAGTTGGGATTGTGGAGTTTAGCTATGATATTTTTTGCACTTCCCTTCTTTATTGATGTTTATTGTTGCTTGTATTTGCTCGCCTCATCAATAAAGTTTCGCTTTTCTTTGCTGGTAAAAAAAAAAAAAAAAAAAAACTCCTCATTCACATAGTGAAAAGGGGGGAAATAAAATAAATTAAAAAAATAAAAGATATTTTTTTCCGTTACTTTTTGGGAAGTGGAAATTGCATCAATAAAATATCTAAATTAATTAACTAAACTATGCTAGGTGATATTAAGTTTCGTTCTATTTATATGTGTGTGTATTAGTGGTGGACATATGGAAATGTTATTTTAAAGGGACAAGAGTTTTGAAAAAAAATTCCTTTTCCCTAGTTCCAAATACAATATTAGAGTGAATTTATGACATGAATGTCTGCCCGATGTAGTGAACAGCATGGATGTAAGACTCTCTCTAGCTATAATTTGATATAGCATTTTCATTTAGGCTCTGTTACATTTAGACACTTGGGCTATTAAAGCATGAGAACATGCGTTAAATTTGATGTTCTTCATTTTATTCAAACAATACCAGAGCTTTGCTTAGTACTCTCAATCTACTCCTGGTACCCTGTTTTGTTGTAGTGTTGACATAATTTATGTAGTTAGTGTGTTTTACCTCTTTTGTTGCTGATCTAATTGTTCTTGTTGCTGATCTGATTGTTAATGTGAATGCCCATTTTCTTATTAACAGTTGAATCATGAAATTGTGAACTAGCAAGATGAGTGGAGAGGTACTTCATTTCTCATTTAACATAAAATTGAATTTATAACCAATTGTTGTCCCTATTATTTCTTATTTTTCCTTGTGTATTGCACAGAATTCAAAAAAAGCTGAGAAAAGAATTAGGAAGGAGCGTGAAGCTATAATTGCTACGACAATGGATGATCTTCAAGATGTAATAGGAAGTATAGTTGCATGGCCTAGTCAATTCATTTTTTTGGACTAAATATTAGAATAATTGATTTACGATTTGTAGTTATGCTTTTTGGATGTTTAAAGTCGTATTTTAGAAATTAGTAAATCTTATGATTTGGATACTTTTCTTGGTTTGTATGTTTGAGGCTGTTATTAACTTGATATGATAAAAGTTAAAGATGGAAGTTAGTATGCAGGTTGTTTGGTGTATGGATAGATTAGATTTAGAAATTAGGTGTATGGATAGATTAGATTTAAAAGTCGTATTTTAGAAATTAGTAAATCTTATGATTAGATTTTTTTGCTTACTTCATAGTTGCTGCTTTCTGCTTGGTTTGTTCACAGATTGCATTTTATAAGCTACTATTTGCATAATGTTAGGCAATGTTATATTTCTGTATATATATTATATATTAAAAATAACATTCTAAGGCATATAAAATTATGTCATGAGCAGTGTAATGATTTATGACATGTAAGAAAATGCTGTAAAAGATTATATACGGCATACAAAGTACGTCATAAATATATTAAAAATGACATAAGGCCTACAAAATTATGTTGTGAAACGTGATGATTTATGGCATGCAAGAAAATACCGTAAAATATTATATATGACATACAAAGTATGCCATAAATATGTTAAAAATAATCTTCTACAGCATTTAACATTATGCCATGGAAAGTATGATGATTTATGACATGACAAAAATGTCGTAAAAAATTATGTACGACACACAAAGTATGTTATTAATGTTTAATTTATTATTTTTTATAACTTTATCTGCATGTCGTAAACAAAACTTAACTTTCCACGGCATGTCATATAATGGCATTTGTATATATGCTGTGAAAGAGTTTTTACGGCATGCATTGCAAGCCGTGAAAAATCAATTTTATTGTAGTGGTTATCAACCAAAATTTTTTATCGCAAAAATGCTTACGCTGATTAAAAATAATTTTTTTGCAATAAAAATTTTAGTCAGCAAAAAGTGTAACTTCCTGTTATATTCTAAAATTCAGTTTCTCAGATCTGTTTTTGGGTTTATAGACTATCTGGCAGTCATAAATACCAGACCCATCTTGTTCCATTTTCTTCACATTCTCTTCTATTTTTCCCCACCATAGATTGGCATGGCTGCACTTACCCCTGTGTTTCTCTTTTTTCTCATTCTCTCTGCCAATTCTGATGAAAGTTCTAAGTTGGATTCAACATGCTTTTCAGCCATTCCGATTTCCAACTCGGTTGCTGCTCTCTACGTGTTTGGGGACTCGACCGTTGATGCCAGCAACAACAATTTCATCCACAATGCCGTGAGGGTTAATTATTTGCCTTACGGCATTGATTTCAGCAACACCCCCACTGGCCATTTCACCAACGGAAAAACTATTGCTGATTTCAATGGTATTATATTGCTCTTCCGTTTGGTTTGGTTTTATTCTCATTATAAGTAGTAAATGTTTTAAATTCAATTTTCTGTGTTGTGATGTGATTCGTGAAGCGATATTATATAATCTTTCACTACCCCCTCCGTATTTGAGCTTGACGGAAGCACAAAGGAAGACTGCCATGGACGGCATCAATTATGCTTCTGCTGGGTGTGGTATCTTCCCCAACACCAAACCACCCGCGGTGAAATTTATATTTTTTTGTGCTTCTTCCGTAACAATTCTAAGGAAATGTTAGAATATGAAGTCTCAAAGGAATTGATAAGAAATCAATGCATGGTAGAGGAACACAAGGAACAATTAAGTTTTAAACATCTTCAACAATCCCACATGATTAAAAATTAAAAAATTTCAAAAAAATAAAATAAAATTTTGGACTTAACCACGTGTCTTGATGTTGATTGATGTCTTCTAGACTTGAATGTGAGTCGTTGGTGTAAATCAGTTAAGTCTTGAGTTCACCTCTAAATAATTCAATAATGCTAGTATGCTACACATAATTTAAAGAGAAAATATATATATATTTTCTTATATATGGGAGAGAAAAATAGGATTTCATTATCCTACCTTAACAATTATTTCGAAAAACATTAAGTATTTTGATTTTACAGTTTTCAAAAATAATTCAAGAGTTTTTAATTCATATTTTTTGATTTTTGGTGAATTATTTTTAAATAAATTAATCATTTTTTTTATCCACTTAATCTCAATATATACTGAAAAAGTAGAAAATTTTTGAAATTTTTTAAAAAAATTCACTAAATCCATTTTTTTTTCTAATGCATTTTCGTATTTTTTTTAATATTTATTGAATTCTTTTTAAATTTTTTTTTATAAAGATTTTATTTTTCAAGTATATTTAAATTATACATTTAAAAATAAAAATAAAACTCAAAAATTCAAAAATTATTTTAAAAACTCAATTCCAAACTGGCATTGGAAACTTTTAAACATATAAATTCAAAAATTCATTATATGTCGTTTGGAAGATATAATTGTTATTACAGACATCATTTCCGTTATGCCAACTTTTACAGGTTCGCTAATGGGGAGAACAAATCCTATTTGTATACATTACTCATAAATGAACTGACACAGTTGCAGATCTCTTCCAGGTGGGAATATCAGCCCAATGAGCCATTTCCATTTTTGTTAGGAACAAACTTCTTGTTGAAAAATAATCCCGGTAAATTAATTAATTTAAATAAATATCAAAAACGAAATTCAATATTCAATAAATAAAAACCAAGTGACGGAAAATACTTACAGTTCTATAAACTAAACACAAAATAAATAACAGATGTGTGATTGAGGCCAGTGTTTGGACACTGTGTCTTTACGACAGAAATTCGGCCTCCGCACTGGTGCTTCAGATTTATGGACATCCTGCCTCCAGAATACAACAATCACCTACACACAGAAGTAGTACTACAATCTATGTGTATTGCGAACCAAATATATGGTAAGTACTCTAAAAAAAAAAAATTATTATAAATTATTTAAGATGAAGATGATTTTTACCACTGCCACAAGAAGACAAAAATCTAGGATCCAATCAATGATTGTTTTTTGTTTTAAGGAGAGATTGCACTGCCATTATATACTTCACAAACTATAGCAAGCAACAGTCACTTGTGTGACTGTTCGATCAAGGAAGTTGACCGTTGGACCAAGATTTGAAAAACTGAAATTCAATTGTTGGACCAAGATTTAAAAAAATTGAAATTTAGTTTTTATTTTATTTTATTATATATATATATATATGTATATATATTTTCCAATACTGTTTTCTCCAAAAATTATAAGTGCCAACCCAACCCAACCCACACCCGCATGCATGTGTTTTGAATTGAGTCTATCTCAGTCCATAATCCCTTCCTTACAAAGTTTATGTTCATGAGTCGATTTCTCATTTACTCATTAATGGTTTTAACAACCATACAACAGACTCTTGTTCACCACATAATAAGCAATAAAATTGCTACGTTGACACACCTAAAATAATGTGTAGGTCCTACATTAATTAAAGTTCAAAATATTAATGGTTTGAAACCATTTTTCTCTAAAAATCCCCCACATGAATGAAATCGATGAAAAGAACATGCAACAATATGCAGACACAAAAAGTACTAAACTAGAAATATCTTGCAAAGGAGAGGTAACTTTGGCCTTGAACCTTCCCTTGTAAAAGATTATCGGATTTACTAACAAACAGTGGACATAATGCCTTGAACTGTTCTGTCTTTGGTGTAAACCAAGACAACAACCTTTCACAGAGTTTGATTTCCAAACACAACTTGATTCTATCGGTTGTGCCCATTTTGGCCCTAGACAATTCCTGGTTTTCATGAGTGCTCTAGAAAATTCAGACTTTTCAATTCTCATAAAGCCGGCCCAGTTTACACTCATATAGGTGATTCTCATTAAGAGTGTCCTGCTATACCTCACTTGGATTTCCAAGTTATGAGAATTATTAAAAGTAAAACGTTATCATGATTATCGTTACAGACATCATGTCATCATAGAAATGGGTAGAAAATTGTCTCCTTAGTGATCTTTCTGAATCATTCTTAATTTGGTTGTCCCTTTAAATCTGGATCTTAGGATCTTTAGTCAGCTAGGTTGGGTTTCCATTAAGGTGACTCTTAAGTGATAGGCTTTAGTCCCATCTCCTCGATGATCTCATAACCTGCTCTCCAGTCAAACCTTTTGTTAACTGATCCACAATATTATCTTTTGACCTTATGTATTCAATGGATATAACACAATTTGAGAGCAGTTGCCTAACGGTATTGTGTGTATGTCAAATATGTCGAGACTTACCGTTGTACATATTATTCTGTGCCCTAGCCATGGTTGCTTGACTATCACAATAAATACAAATAGCTGACATAGGTTTTGGCCACATTGGAATGTCTTCTAGGAAGTGACGAAGCCATTCTGCTTTTTCTCTTGCTTTATCTAAAGCGATAAACTTAGATTCTATTGTGGATCTTGCAATGCATGTTTGCTTGGACGATTTCCAAGAAACTGCTGCATCTCCTAGGATAAAGACATAACCACTAGCAGACTTAGAGTCTATAGTGTCAGATATCCAATTTGTGTCACTGTATCCTTCTAATACCGCTGGATATTCATGATAGCTTAGACCATAGTCACGGGTATATCTTAGATATCTAAGTACCCTCATTATTGCTGTGCAGTGGTCTTCCACTGGATTGCTCGTGTATCTACTCAATTTGCTAACTGCATAAGAAATATCAAGAAGTGTGCAGTTCATGAGATACATCAAGCTTCTAATTATCCGGGAGTGCTCTAATTGTGATATACCTTCCCCTAAGTTCTTCATTAAATGAAGATTAGCATCGATAGGAGTCTTAGTAAAACGGTCGTCATGTTTATTAAATTTTTCAAGTATTTTATCAACATAATGACCTTGAGACAAGGCATATCCGACATATGTTTTTGTGATTTTCATACCAAGTATAACATCTGCTATTCTCATATCTTTCATGTCAAACTTAGTGTTTAACATTTTCTTTGTAGTCTTTATTATCTCATTATTGCTGCCAATAATGAGCATGTCATCCACATACAAGCAAACAATGACATATCATTTTTCAGTGTTTTTCACATAAACACATTTATCACACTCATTCCTTTTAAAATCATTTGTCATCATTACGTTATAAAACTTTTCACACCATTGTTTAGGTGCTTGTTTTAATCCATAAAGAGATTTCTTAAGTTTACACACTTTCTTCTCAAGTCCCGTATCAATAAATCCTTCTGGTTGTTCATATAAATTTCCTCATTCAAATCTCCATTCAAAAACGCAGTCTTGACATCCATTTGATGTATTTCCAGATCATGCAAAGCTGTATGTTACATACCTACACTTTTAATCTATAAATCTATTTACAATGATGTGGTAAGAGGGAGAGGCCCTATATTATTAGATGTATAACAAATTAAAATTGGCAGGTATAATATCACAATATTATAGATACACATGTGAGACTTGTTTGTGGATCTTAAATATTTTCTTAAAGATATTTTCTAGGTTAATACACTTTTAGTGTAGTTAATGGCTACTGAGCAATCGAACAGTTTGGGATCTTAGAATCAAGGATCTAGATTTTACTCAGAATGAGTATGTGTGGTGGAAATTAAATTGATGAAGTGTGGCGTTTACTAGTGAAACGAATTTGAACCATTGATTATTGTTTCTGGGAAAATTCTAGGTAGATAATTATGGATTTGTAGTATTGTTGCCAAGCAATTGTCCAGTTAAACCCAAAAACGAAAAACAAAAAAAAAAGGCTAGAAAATACATTGAATGATTGAAATTAATTTTATATGTCAGTCGGTGTTTCATTACTGGCTAATGTTTTAAAAATCAGGTTGGTAAGAGAACCAGAAAAAGGATTCGGTGGGGAGATCACTAGTTCAACTGTTGAGCCAAACTGGAATCAAACCATAACGTCATAATTATTTTATAAATATATTAAAATTTATTTAATAATAACATAAGAATTAGGATACATTGATTTAATTTTTTAAAAAAAATTTAAGATAAATTTACAATTACATAAATATATTTATTATATATAAAATACATCAAATATATTAATGATTGAAAGGAAATGTAATATAGATATATATTTATCAAATATAAATAAAAGTTGAATATGGTATGGTAGTTATTTGTCATGCTACTTCGATTTGGTTCTATGCATAATTCTCCCAAGCAACATAATTTTGCATATTTGCTTGCCATTTGACAAAATGGGAGCCCAACCGATTTAGTTGAACCATACCTGAACTGAACTTTTAGATTGGTCGACGATTCAACCAGCCTGTCCAATCCGATTTCAAAATATTGTTACTCACACTAACATTTTTTATAGGAGAAACAATACTTTTAGCAACTAATATTTTAGCTACCAAATGATTTAGTACGGTAGTTATATGTTGAACAATCAAAAGTTTAGTCGCGAAATATTTGTTTTTAATCATTTAGTCATAGTAGTTATATGTTCAAACGGACAAAAATTTAGTCATCAAATACTTGTTTTTGTCGATTAATAAGATTAATGATTTTTTTTAGTCGTGAATTACTTTCCACAACCACATGCATTAGCGAACAAATTTTTTTGTCACAAAAGTACTTATGCTGATTAAAAAAAACTTTTTTGCAACCAAAATTTTAGTTGGCAAAACGTGTAATTTTTTATAATATTCTAATATTCAATTTCTCATATCTGTTTTTGGGTTTACAGACTATCTGGCTGTCTATAAATACCAGACCCATCTTGTTCCATATTCTTCACATTCTCTTCTATTTTTCCCCACCATAGATTGGCATGGTTGCACTTACCCCTGTGTTTCTCTTTTTTCTCTTTCTCTCTGCCAATTCTGATGAAAGTTCTAAGTTGGATTCATCGTGCTTTTCAGCCATTCCGATTTCCAACTCGGTTGCTGCTCTCTACGTGTTTGGGGACTCGACCGTTGATGCCGGCAACAACAATTACATCGACAATGCCGCAAGGGCTAATTTTTTGCCTTATGGCATTGATTTCAACAACACCCCCACTGGCCGTTTTACCAACGGAAAAACTATTGCCGATTTCATTGGTATTATATTACTAACTACCGTAAACTGTACTCTCCCTTTGGTTTGGTTTGGTTTTGTTATGTTTTATTCTCATTATAAGTAGTAAATGTTTTAAATTCAATTTTCTGTGTTGTGATGTGATTCGTGAAGCGATATTATATAATCTTTCACTAACCCCTCCGTATTTGAGCTTGATGGAAGCACAAAGGAAGACCACTATGGGCGGCATCAATTATGCTTCTGCTGGATGTGGTATCTCCCCCAACACCAAACCAACCGAGGTGAAATATTTGCAACTTTTCTTGCTTCTTGTGAATCCTCTAAATCTGTATTTTTTTTCAGACTTTTTGTTTTTAATATATGTATATATTTACAATTTACCCAACCATTGTTAACGTTACTTTATGGGAGAGGTTTTTCTGCAATCCACATAGTGGATTGGAGTGTGTTGTAGGATTCGTGAGGTTCACCACCGGTTTCGTTTCGATAATCTGAATTGTTCATTACATAGATTTTTTCGAGTACTTCATACGTACAAAAAATACATTAATCAGATATAGGTAGCCTCTTGATCGGAATACATTTTTGTTAATAATTTTATTTTTAAAATCATATTACCATTGACAAAAATATATTCCGATCAAAGGACTGCCGATATCTAATCGATATGATATTTTGCACACATGAAGTACTCGACGAGTTCTACATATTGAACGGTTCGGATAATCGAAACAGGATCCATAGTGAGTCCCACGGGTCCAACAGCATGCTCCAGTCCACTGTGGACCGGAGAGAAGCCTCTCCCTAGTTTAATTCCTCTTGGTTTCTCAGAAAGATTGCTGGAGTTTGCAAACACAGATTGAGGCATTTAACAGGACTGTCCAGGAAGATCTGCCATGTATGATTGAAGATCCACAAGAGCTCGCTGAGTATCTTGCAAATTCCATATTTTTCATCTCCATGGGGGCCAATGACTACCTCTTAAACTTTAACAACCACAGCGACCCTGAATATTTTGCAAATTCTCTCTTAATCCAGTTTCAATGCTATTTGCAGGTAAACTTTTAACTAATTGCATTCAAATCAGATTGTTGATTTTTAACACGATATTATTGCTATTAATCGATGATCAACTGTAATTTAAGTGTGAAAGATGATAGCTTCCATGGCTATGGATTGGATTAGAGTCTAACGTAACCATCCTTTAATGTTTTCATTATTGCAAGACACTATATAACATTGGAGCCAGAAATCTAGTGGTGAACAACATAGGTCCTCTGGGATGCTTGCCGTCGATGATAAACAAGACAGGAAATGGGCAGTGCGATGAACAAATAATTAATTTCTGGTCATTATTAATTTTTTGTTTCTTTTTCTTTTATTTTTTTAAACATCATTTCGCCGTAAAGTAGCTATTTTCGTCTCTTGCATGTGTGTTGTGTTGTGTAAGGTTTACAGATGTAAAAAATCCATGTGACGTAGGGGTTCAACAAGTTTGGGTACATGTCCTCTCTTCTTTGATGCTAGCCATACTAGTGAATTTGCAAATTGTTCGAGACATGCTTATTAAGGATTGAGGGTTCAACAAGTTTGCTAGTTTAATTTTAATTATGAGTGGTATGGTAGTAAGAGTATGGGATGAAAACAAGCTCTTGTCTCTGCTGAAGTTATTATGGACACTCAAATGATTTGATTTTTTTTTTAGGTGAATGTGATTTGATTATTTAATCTACACTTAATCTAAACTTCATTCTTCTACACTTAATCTACACTTCATTTTTCTTAGCATCCTGCTATTATTTTATTTATTTGTTTTTTATTTTGATTCTATAAGTTTGCGTGACGTGGGGGAATAATGTTACGTGGTATTTTACAAGCATCTAAGAAAATTTTCAAAGTTTAAATGTCAACGGTGAGTTTTAGAATAATAGAATCAAGGAATGGACACTATATTCATGGGTGGAAACAAAAGACTAGTATTAGAGACCCACAATTTGAATCCTTAATTCAATCTACAATGATATGACAAGAGAGATAGACTCTACACAACTGAGAAATGACAAACTAAAAGTTTATATGTATAATGCCACATCATTGTAGGTCACATTGTGAGAGATTTAAAGAGTTTTTACGGCATGCATTGCAAGACGTAAAAATTCAATTTTGTTGTAGTGTGTTTCACATTCAAATTTGGGTTCCCAAGCCCTACATCGTGATTCTACATTTTTGTTCGACCACATCCAATTTCAGTAGCAAAAATATGATCTCCGCCGGCTGATTGTAGTTGGAGTTGCCACTTTCTGGAGATTTCGTGTCACATTTGGAAGCAAAAACAATGACAATGGGATGTAAAAGAAATTTTTGTTCAAATAGTTGTGTGAAACTTTGGTGTGAATTTCATACTAGGATTTGCATGATCTTAGTATGAATTCCATACTAGGGTTTGTATGTTCTTTATTGATGTGCCAAAAACACCAACTTCAATAACCTAAATCCTTCCGGTTTGGAACCCCCAATCTAGAGGTGCATGAATCGACGATATTTTGAATGTGGGTTTTGTGAATTTTCGATTTATATTTGTATACAATGTGTTTTTTATTGCAATATTTTTCATTAATTTTTTGTGGGTTTGTTGTGTTGGGGTTGATTTTTTAATTCGTAATGAGTTACATAGTTTCACATTCAGCTGTTATGTTGGTATGCTTTTTTGAATGTTAATGTCGAGCTAATGTGGGTATTTGGGAATAATGTGATTTTGATTTGTCTATATGGGTTGTTGGTGGGTTTGGGTAATCTGAATGTGGGTAATATATGTTGAATGTGGTTACGAGTGAAAATTAGCTTAATATGGGACGTGGGAATTGTTGAATGTGGGTTTTGTGATCTCTGATTTATACATGTATGCAAAGTGATTTCTGTTACAATTTGGATTTTAGCTCCTTTTTTTTTGTTAAAAAAAAAAGGCAAAATAGGATAAAATAGTTAATAAGATAAAATTTCACATTAAACTCATAATTATTTTACTTTTTCTCTCACAAACATCACATATAACTATAAAAAAAACTAACCATCTTTTCAAATATAAAAATTTTAATCTACTAAAATAGTCAAAAATTAAAATAACTAACTTTTCAAATAATGCCAATATTGATCATCTACTTTTTGTGAGTTTCTTGTGTTGGGGTTAAATTTTTAACTTGTAAGGGAACTGCTCCAGACAATCCGAGATCCTGTCAATCAAATCTCCCACTATTGGAAAAAGTAGATATAACCACATTTTTTTTGTGGCGTTTTTTTGTAAATGTTGCTAAATCTGTTAACCAATCTTTTAAATTCCTGGTGAACCGCATACGGAATGGAGTATGTGTAAAACGACACAGTTTTGTGTGTTAAAATAAGAGTTTTTTTTTTCTCCTCTTTTTATGAAGGCATCTGTACCAGGAAATCCAAATCTATCCAGAGATATTTTGATTTCGATTAATTAAGAAGAGACGCGACTTGAGAGAGAGAGAGAGAGAGATTGAGGCCTGATCCTTTGATTTCCATCGATTTTTGATGATTTTGATCTGGAAAATCTTGTTCTCATGCATATGATTTTTGATGATTTCGGTTGATTAAGCTATCTTCGAGATTGTTCGAATCCCTCTATTTGGATCGTTCTGAAAAACAAGAAAAAAAATTTAATTTATATTTAGCTCTTTTTTTCTTAAACTCAAAAACAAAAAAATTAATTAGCAGAGATAATTTATAATGGCTCAAATATTATGCAGAAGAATTAAATTGAGTTGGTGGTTAAATGTGTATGGACTAAATTTTGGATAGTTAACCATGTGAATCTATCGGCCATCCGTACCAAATTAATTTGAGTAATTGACGAAACACAGGCTTACCCATCACGTGCCATTTTTTTTTTTCCTTCGTTACCTACGACAATTGCTATGTACTATTAATTAAAATAGTTTAAGACTCTTTCAATGCAATATATTATAACTAGTCTAATAACCTGACTTGTAATTAATATAAATAAAAATAAAAAATTATTTAAACATAATGTTTACATTTTCCTTTCAATGGCAGGTGGGTGGAAGTCACAAAGCGAGAAGGTTGCGATAAGTCACGTTCGTTCCACCATACCCATTAGATCACTTTAGATGTACTCTTTAACTTTTTAATCATATTCGGGTGCCTAATGGACCCCAAATCATAGTGAACATACACGCAACGACAATTAAACCAAATTTTTTTTATTAAGTAAAATTCAGCAGTCCAAAATTAAATATTTTGGAGCAACATGATATTTTCATTATTTAATTTTTCAAGTCAATTAAAAATATTTTTTTTGAATAAAATAGAGTCAAATTAAATATTTTAGAGAACATGAATCTTTTTTGAGAAACATGAATCTTTTCATTTATTATTTTGAAAGTAAATCAATTTTTT